AAAAAGAGAAACACATGCCTTTTGCAGCAACATGGATGGAGCTGGAAAGGATCATGTTTAATGAAATAAGCCAGAAAGAAAAAGAAAAATACCAAAATGGTTTCACTCATAGCAGGAACATAAACAACCAGGTGGGGGGAAAAAAGTAATGAACAACTATATACTAGAGACATTTTATGGGGGTGGAAGGGGAAATGGGATCAAAAATGGGGGGAGGGTGCACAGAACTATGGTGATGACACTCGGGTAATTTGGTGATGGGAAGCCCACGGGGATTACAACTGAGATGGAAAAAGCCACAAAATGATGCAAAAACAAACTATTATAATAATAAAAAAAAATTTGGGAAGCCAAAATGTTATGTTTGGTGGGCTCTCATCCCTGCACTTACAACTGCAATTGTAAGACATGACTCCAGCTCAGGGTTCAGCAACTACAGGGTTTATTTACAAAGGAAAGAAAGAAGTTGGGAGAGAGAAAGAGTTAATGGCAGGGCCAGAGTCAGCAATAGTCAGGTGGCAGTTTGAAGCAGAGATCCAATGCAAAGGTCTCAAGCGCTCTGAGATGGTGGCACCACAGCATCCAAAGGCTGGCATGGGCAGCACTGAACACCAGACCAGCCAGTGCCAAAGGCCCAGCACCAGGGGTTGGTGTCAGATGTGTCAGAGGCAGGGACCAGTGTTACAGCTCTTCAAAGGTCTGCCTGGGGATTCAGGAGGACACTGCCTGAGTGGAACCTGAATTGCATAATCTTCAGGGTACCTGCCACTCCAGTTTGATTAGTCCATTTTAATTGATTGGCACATGTGGGAGCTCCAATCAGATTGGTCCATTTAAAGTCCCAGCTATGTGATTGGTGCCTGTTGAACTGCAGAAGTGTGTCCAATCTGACCAAAACTGTGATTGTGCCTCAAAACTTAGCACCTGGGTCCTCCCTGGTGGCCAAAGGGTTAAAGTGCAGCACTAGGAAGCTATATCCCTTAGAGCCCTGCCAGGGAGGTGGCTCACTGTGGTGCACCCGCTGCCCCCCTCAGCAGTGTACATTGATCTGCCTGTCCTGTCCCCCCACTCTGTCTCTGGTGAAGTCTCTCGCCCCCTGCACCTCTGAAGCCTATATCCCAGTTCTTGTATGCATAAATAATTAAATCTTATATTTAAAAATATCTAAATGTAAGAGCTTTAAAATGCTTAAAAGATAACCAATGTAAAATTTCATGATTTTGGATTAGCAATATTTTCTTGGATATAACTCCAAGCAACCACAGGGGAGAAATAAATCAGATCTCATCAAAATTAAAAACTTCTGTGCTCCCGAGACTATGGTGATGGCACATGAGTGATTTGGTGATGGGAAGCCCATGGAGATTACAATTGAGATGGAAAAAGGCACAAAATGATGTAAAAAATAAGCTATTAGAATATTAAAAAAAAAAAACTTTTGTGCAACCCTGGACACCATCAAGAAAGTAAAATTAGGGCCTCATATCATGGGAAAACATATTTGCAAATCACTGTCTGGCAAAGTCCTAATAGCCAAAACATATAAAGAACATCTCAACAATAATAAGATAATATAAGTTTACAACAGTCAAAAGACTTGGATCGGCAGTTCTCCAAGAAGATATACAGATGTCTAATGAGCACAGGAGGACGCGCCCAACATTGCTAGTCATCAGGAAAACACAAATGCAAATACAACGAGGCACCAACTCACATTTACTAGGGTAGCTGTAGTTTTTTGTTTTTTTTTAAAGATTTATTTATTTGTGCATACAGAACTGGGGTACAGGCCAGAGATGTGGAGGGTGAGAGGATTCACCAGAGACAGAGAGGGGTACAGAACAGGCAGATCAACAAAGTACACTGCTGAGGGGAGCAGCGGGCGGGTCAGGGAAGGTCTGCCACGCCAATGTGGTCACCTCCGGGGCAGGCAGGAATCGAACTCATGTGGAAGTGGCTTTAGCTTCTCAGTGCTGTGCTTTAACCAGCTGCGCCACCAGGGAGGGCCCAGGTAGCTGTAGTTTTTTTAAAGGACAACAGGAAGTTGGTGAAGATACGGAGAAATTGGAACTCTCACATTGTGCTCCTGACAATATTAAATCATCCTGGTGTCTTGGAAAAAACAGAAAGTACCAATTAAATTCAAACTGAGGGCTACTGTGTGTCCTAGTAACCCCATTGATATCTATATATGCAAAGGTATCAAAAATATGTCTACACATCTGTGTACACAAATGTTCCTTGAAGCATTATTTATTGTAGCTGAAGACTGAAAACAATTCAAACATCCATCAACCAATGAATGGGTAAATAAGGCATGATAGATCCACACAATGGAATATTATTCAATCATCAAATGGAATGAATTCTGATACATACCAGTACATGGATAAACCTTAGAATATGTTGACTGAAAGAAACCAAATACAGAAAGGTCACATACTG